CCGTATCCTTCTATGTAGAGCATCATGGGACGTCTGCCAAGGTGTGGGTTCTGGGTGGGCCACCTTCTGCCCTTGCACTGTGTTCCTGACCTTGGTACAGACCTGGACCAGTTGAAGGAGATCATGAAGATCACAGGGACACCTCCTCCTGAGTTTGTACAGAAGTTACAGAGTGCGGAGGTCAGTGAGAAGCTGGGTGGTGGGCTGGATTTGGGTTTTGGAGATGGCCTATCACTCTTCCCCACCCCCATAGGCCAAGAACTACATGGAAGGCCTCCCTGAGCTGGAAAAGAAGGATTTTGCCTCTGTCCTGACCAATGCAAGCCCTCAGGGTAGGGTGGGGTGGGGTGAAGGTCTCAAGCTGCTGGGTATGCCCTATTCTGTGGCTTGGCCTGATTTGCTCACTCCACAGCTGTGAACCTTCTGGAAAAGATGCTGGTGCTGGATGCAGAACAACGGGTGACGGCAGCTGAGGCACTGGCCCATCCATACTTTGAGTCCTTACAGGACACCGAGGATGAGCCCAAGGCCCAGAAATATGATGACTCCTTTGATGATGTAGACCGAACCCTTGAGGAATGGAAGCGTGAGTGTGGATTCCCCACAATATCTGGCTCTGGACCCTGGGTGCCCTGTATAAATGAGCCTCTGTCCCCCCCACCCCTACTTTTGCAGATGAGATAAAAGATTGGGAGGTTAAGGGCGTTGTGGGGCTGTACAACTTGGCCAGGTTGACTTCTGGCTACAGCAGAAAGCATGAGGAAGAGTATCTCTTGCAGGAGATCCTTCAAAGACTGGCATGTGATGGGTCCCAAGAACTGTAGAGCATTTGTGTGCTCAGGGCAGCAGTGTCCTTGGTCTCTACTGATACCCTAGTCTCCCCCTTGCACTCTGTTGCCTATCATCCTCATGTCTGGACCACACTGGTGTCCTCTCTACCACCCTTATCCTTATGACTTCCTTCTCACACCTTTTGAATTTATCCTTACCCCTTTTCTGGACCCTTCTTGAAACCACTATATCTTTCTCATGTTCTGGCCATGAGGAACAGTCTGTTCCCATGCAGTCCCAAGGGCCCAGCCTTTTCCTCACACCTCCAGCCCTAGATCCATCCATGGCTTTGTGTTGAACCTCCAAGGTCTAGACAGACTGTGCTCTTATGTTGAGAACCCTTATTCTGTCTCTGAGAACCAGCTTCAGGCTTCCCACTGTTCCCTGTGCTTGAACTAGCCTCTGGTGTCTGCTCCAGATTGGCAGGTCCGGTCTGGGGAGTAGAGATGTCTGAGGACATGTCCAATGGGACATGTTATCCCTTGTCCTGCCAAGCCATATTCTCTTTTTTTGTTTGTTTTTGTTTTTTGAGACAGGGTTTTTCAATATAACAGTGTTGGCTGACCTGGAACTTGCTGGCCTCGAATTTACAGAGATCCGCCTGCCTCTGCCTTCTGAGTGCTAGGATTAAAGGCGTGTGCCTTTACCAGCTTCAGGCCATGTTCTTGCACTCTGATGTGGGAAAGGCTGGATGGGGTGATGTTCTCAAATCACATCCTGCAAGGTTCTTCTGCACTTCTAACAGGCATTCTTTCCTTCTGTGTTGTCATGTGCTTATGAGTTTGGTTCTGTGTGAGGAAACCTGTCTGCTGCTAAACAAAGTAACTCACTTAACCACAGGCCACAAGATCTGATCTGTGGTCTCCACCTACACACTGTGCCTGGGTACTTTTGCTTTTACCATAGACCACAGAGGACATACAGCTGAGTCCATGGACAGGAACACAATCTTACAAGCTTTCTTTCTTCCTCCTTTTCTTTCTTCCTTTCTTTTTTTTCTTTCTTTCCCTTCTTCCTTTCTTCCCTTCCTTTCTTTGAAACACAAGCTCTCATCACCTTTCTTCCTGGAAATGTATCTTTATAGCAGTTTTCACACAAAGTGGTCCCTCCCCACCCCAAACAGAGTGTCTCTGTATAAATAGCCCCTGGCTGTCCTGGAACTCTCTCTGTAGACCAGCTTGGCCTCACAGAGAACCACTTGCCTCTCTGTCTCCTGAATGCTGGGATTAAAGGTGTGCACCACCACTGCCCATCTTCACACACAGCTTTTTTTAAGTGGGTTGACCCATTTATGATTAAAAGCCCATGAGGTGCTGGTTTCTCCCCATAGGTGAAAATAGACTAACTATATCATCTGCTTCTCCTTGCTTTCTGCAGGTGTTACTTACAAAGAAGTGCTCAGTTTCAAGCCTCCCAGGCAGCTAGGAGCCAGAGTCCCAAAGGAGACAGCTCTATGAAGCCTCTGGGTAGTTTAGGGTATCCTAAGGAGCCTGGCTGGGAGTTTCACAGGCACCCTGGCTCCCCTTCCCTGGAAGAGGGTCCTGGTTAGCACTGTGACTGTGCCTGGGACTTGTATCCACGTGGAGAGACTGAGTAGACCTTGAAGTCACAGACCCTCCATCTCCAAACCTGTTCTTTTGCTTTTGGGTGCCCCAGATGACCCTGGCAGAACACCTAAGCTTTCTGTCCAAGACCCCCTCCCAACACGGAGCTAGCCCGTGAATCTGGAGTTGCTCTCCTTTCACCAGTGTGCATGGAAAGGCCTCAGATCTGGCAGAGTTTAGGAGACAAGTGCTAGTCCCTGAACTCTCCTTGCCCAGGACAGTGTCAACTCCTGAGAAGGAAGGAGATAGAGGTTTGGGGGCACCGACTCAGGGACATCATCTCTCCTGTGATGGGGTGAACTCTCTTACACCCTTAGCCTGGAATGTAAACCAGCCATTTGGTGCACCGAAGTGGCTGGGAGCAAATAAACCCTTTTGTAGATCTCCTATTTGGCTGTGTGGCCCAATGCCATCATTTCTGAGTTGCTAGTAGTTGCACACACACAAAAAAGAGGTAGCCTGAGCCCCCTGCTGTTGTAATTTTAAAAAGCGGTGCTCAAAAGAGAAAGACACTATGGGACAGAGCTTGGGTGGAGGGGTTTTTACTAGGGGAAAGTGAATGGGAAAAGGGGGGAGGGAAGAGGGGAAACCAGTCTCTAGGGACAGGAAGAGAAGAGAAGGGAGGGGGGAGAGACAAGCAGAGATAGAGAGGAGAGAGATAAGCAGAGAAGCAGAGGCAGAGAGAGAAGAGAGAGAGATGGGAGGTGGGCAGGGCCCTTTTAAAATGGAACATAGTGAATGTGTACAGGTGGTGCTTTTAGTGGCTGCAGCTGCAGGTACATCTTGTCAGAACCCCAAGGACAGGCCAGTACAGATGCCTGAATACTAACACCTGCATCCCAGCTAATACAGTGCCGCACCCCTGATTCCAGGCCAAAGTGCTTTTGCCACCTAGTCCTTGCCAGTGGTCCTCAAACCACCACATTTGGCCCTCTCCCTTCAGCAACTATACTCTAATTAAGGCTTGCAGTCTGAGCAGGGTGTCTATTGAGCCTGATGCAAGGAAGATAATGGGGAGGATGATATTAGGACCCAGACAGAGGCTCCCTTCTTTCTGATATCACAGCATTTGTCTTCTTATGGCCAAAGCTTCTAGAGAGGGAGGTTATCTCTGGTCTTAAAGGCTCTCTGAGACCCAAGAGAGGTGGGTTCTACTCTCTGACCAACAACTCTATTGGTATCACCCTGACAGCTTCCCTGAACCTACACTGTCATCTGCAGGCCATTAGACCCTGACTGCCTAGTTTGATGGTCCATGTTCTTCCCCATGTCTCCAGGGCAAGACCTAAGGGTGGGGCCTTGCATTCCTCTCATTTGCCAAGGAGTTCCGGGCAAATACACTATGCCCAGGCTAATTTGGTCAGAGAGAAGATGCCATAACTATGCTCTCTTCTGCCTTGTTCCCCTTACGATAACCATGGGCAAGAGTTCAAATATTTCACCCCATTATGGAGGTGTGGCTCACTGCATGCCCTGCTTCACAAGACACATAACCCAGGGCAAGTCAATGAGGAGTGCCTCTGCCTTATACCATTGGTATTTAGAAGCTGGAGAGTGTAGGGGAAAAGGGCCAGCTAAAGAAACACACCCTGAGCAGAGCCAAAGAAACACACTTTAGTCCTGCAACCAGAACCAAAGAAATGCACCCTGACCCTGAAACCAGTGCCAAAGAAACACAATTTGGCCCTGAAACCAGAGCCAACTCTGACCCTAAATCTGTGCAGAAAACCAACCGCCATGAGCAGATCTGGCCATCCTAGCTCAGGGATTGAAATCTGACCAATCCCCACCCTGGAAATCTCCCTGGAAAAACTCCGCCCCCTAAGGATCCCTATATAAACCCTGTTCCAGCTTCTTTCCTCCCAATAAATATCTTGAATGAGATTTGGATGAAGACTATCTTTCACTGGGGCAGAGACAACCCTGAGCAGAGTGGAGGGGAGGAGGGCTGTAACACTTTGTCTGGGGAAGCCTTCCCCTGGCAGAGCAGAGTTGTTACACTTGACTATCTGGGAGGAGCAGAGCCTAACTGTAACAACTTCGCTGTGAAACCCTTTCCTGCTAGAGCAGAGCTGATACACTGGAGAAGCCTTTCCCTGAAGCAGGGCTGTAAGCTGCTATACTTACTGTGACCTGTGGTATTCCTTGGCTCCTGATTGCCAGAATACCTTTCCATCCTGCCTATACCATCTGAGCTGCCAAAATGCTTATAGAGAGGCCTTGGTCCCAACCAGAACCAGGGCCTGCACTCCATCTCTAGAGTGTGCAATGGGCACCTCCTAACTGCTCCAGGGCTTTTGGTTACCCCTGCACATGATAGTCCTGTGTGTCCCTGTGGTAGATGTCAGTGGCAGCTCCCACCCTTCACCTGGAGGAGCAGGCAAATTGGATGTGATAGACAGTTGGCATGTCTGACCCTGTGGCCTTAGCTGGCAGGTTAGGCTCCAGAACGCTGGGGGAAGAAGGGAGCATAGCTTCCGTTGCAGTGATTGCCTGAGGACAAGCAGCCCCGTCTTCCCATCCATTTCAAGAGGCCGCAGCACTGGTGGTAGGCACACAGCTGAAGCATTAGAGTAAGAGACTAGAAGCCGAGATGCTGGCAAACCTACCGGAGCTCATCGGTCTGGTCTACTCCACCCTAACTCGCCTGAGGGCGGGACCGAGTCTGCGAAGGAGGAAGCCGGAAGTTAGGTGTCGGGAGCCACGCTGTGGACCCGGCTTAGCTCTCTTTCCAGCGGTTCGCTTCTGACTACCGACCAGACCTGGGCCTGGACCTCGGGTGGTGCCCTCTTGCCCAGGTCCAGTGTCTGCTGCTCGATTCTTGTTACAAGCGAAGGACAGTTTACGTGCGTGCTGTTAGGTGGGACTAGGCAGTACAGTCACCTGCCAACAGAGGGCGTGTTACGCTCCAGTGCATCAAAGTGACCACAGTGTGGCCATGGGTACAGCACTTGTGTACCACGAGGACATGACAGCCACCCGGCTGCTCTGGGATGAGTAAGTGTGTTTTGACTGAAGTAGGGGGCCGGGAGGGAATCCTGAACACTAACATTCTTGTCTGCTCCAGCCCCGAGTGCGAAATTGAGTGTCCGGAGCGCCTGACTGCAGTCCTGGATAGCCTGCAGCAGCGTGGCCTAGAACAAAGGTGCCTGTGTTTGACAGCTTGTGAGGCATCTGAGGAAGAGTTGGGACTGGTGCACAGGTCAGACTATGACGGGTCTGGGGACCTGAACCTGTTATAGTCCTACTAGCGTCCCCTCAGTTTCACCGTGGTGTGGGCTCAAAGGCATAAGGGGAGTACTGGGTGGGCGCTTCCACCAGGGATCCCAGCTCATTTTCTTCCTGTCCTGCTGATGGCTTGCCTGTTGGTCTGCAGCCCGGAATACATAGCGCTGGTGCAGAGGACCCAGACCCTGGACAAGGAGGAACTTCAGGCACTGTCTAAGCAATTTGATGCTGTCTACTTCCACCCAGTGCGAGCCAGTATACACACCCAGATTTATGGCCATACTCCTATGTATATCTATCCCCATGTTTGCCCACTTGGCAATGTCTTCTTGCTCATGCTTATGACCATACCCTGTCATATTTTGCCTGCCATTGTCCCATCCCTGCCTTTCTCAGCAGTGGGAGACCTGCAACCTGGGACAAGCAGGTCGGGCAGCAGGCTAAATTGCACTCTGGTCCACAGAGCACTTTTCACTGTGCCCGGCTGGCCGTAGGGGCTGCACTGCAGCTAGTGGATGCTGTGCTAACAGGAGCTGTTCACAATGGGCTTGCCCTGGTGAGGTGAGAACTGCCCCTCCCCAAACCTGGCTGTCTCTGTGAGTGACCCTGGGAGGGGACAGAATGACTCTGACATGCCCTGTATTTCCCCCCACCCCTTGCACCTCAGGCCTCCAGGACACCACAGTCAGAAGACAGCTGCCAATGGATTCTGTGTTTTCAACAATGTGGCAATAGCAGCCAAACATGCCAAGAAGAAATATGGGTTGCAGAGGTGTGTCCAAGCTTTGTACTGTATGTGTTGGGGACACAAACTAAATAGGAAGAAGGGGAGTTGGCGGTCAAGAGATCCTACCTCCTCCCTTCACTCCTGGATGGTCTCCTGGCCTAAAGATGGCATGGTGATCTCCAGCATTGTCTGAATTTAGGATTCTTATTGTCGACTGGGATATCCACCATGGCCAGGGCATCCAGTATGTCTTTGATGATGACCCCAGGTGAGCTGGGCTGTGAACATAGCCCTTCTCTTCAATGCACTACTTTGGGGATAAAATTCAAGTTTTAGGAGTCAGGGTTATTTGAGAAGCTGTGGAGCTGCTGAGGGACCTCACTTCTGACCTGGCCAATTGTCTACAGTGTCCTTTATTTCTCCTGGCACCGCTATGAGCATGGGCACTTCTGGCCATTCCTTCAAGAGTCCGATGCATGTGCAATTGGGCAAGGGCAGGGCCAAGGCTTCACTGTCAATTTGCCCTGGAACCAGGTACCAAGTCCCCCAACCCCCTCCATCCAGCTGATCTCTCCTGCTCCCTAGCTCTAGGTTTGCAAATGTTACCTAGGGCATTTTGCAAGAGTTCTGTTCCCAGGGGTGAAGACTCCTCTGATACCCTCTCTGATCTCACTGCAGGTTGGGATGGGAAATGCTGACTATTTGGCTGCCTTCCTACATGTGCTGCTTCCGTTGGCCTTTGAGGTGACTGTGTGGTAGATGTCCCCCAGGGCAGGCAATCCTAGACTAACCCAGAGTTCCACTATGAAAGCAGGAGGAGATTTGTAAGCCAATCCACCAGTGTATGAATGAACCCTGGGGAGTGGGGAAGGTGCCTCAGAAAGTCTGATATTACGTGAATGGGCAGTATTGGGGCCTCCCCTTCACCTGGGCTATGGTTCTCTTTTGCCCTTCTCTGATGGATTCTGCCTATAGTTTGACCCTGAGCTGGTGCTGGTCTCAGCAGGATTTGACTCTGCCATCGGGGACCCTGAGGTGAGAGCATGGCTTGGCTGGGGAGTAATCTAGTGTCCTGGGCACAGACCCCTATCATACATGACTCACTGTGCTTCAGGGACAGATGCAAGCCACACCTGAGTGCTTCGCCCACCTTACACAGCTGCTGCAGGTGCTGGCTGGTGGCCGGATTTGTGCTGTGTTAGAGGTAAGTGTGGGGTGGTGGGGAGGCTCGAAGGCCAGGGGAGGGCATGAGGCCAAATGTGAGGATCAGTCAAGGTTAGGTGTTCTGTCTGGCATAGCCACTCACACTAGTGACGTCCCTGCTCTGTCCTGTCTCAAAAATCTTCCTAGGGTGGATACCATCTGGAGTCCCTAGGACAGTCAGTGTGTATGATGGTGCAGACACTACTTGGTGATCCCACGCCTCCCCTTCTTGGGCTTATGGTGCCATGCCAGAGGTTTGACTACTGGAGAGTGGGTGGGGGGCTGAAGCAGGAGTCAGGATTACAATGCTACTTCTTCCCATAGTGCCCTGGAGTCTATCCAGAGTGTCCAGACAGCCCAGGCCCCTCACTGGACAAGCCTCCAACAAAGTCAGTATGACCTGCACCTGGGCTCGTGGCTTCAGCTTAGGCTTCTTTGTAGTGACTGTGACTGTGACCTGTTTAGATGTGGCACCAGTTCTGAGTCCCAGCACCCACCTTCCTGAAGGGAGGTCTCTGTCTCTGCTTGCTGAGAGCTCCACTTGTGAAGTAGCAGAAGATGCACCAAGTCCCCTCCTGGATGGAGTGTGCCTTCGCCCTACACCCCCAGTCTGCACAGCTGTTGCCTTGACTGTGCCAGGTGCTGCTCTGGCCTTACCTCCTAGGGTGCTCCATCAGGAAGGGTCAGCCATGAGGGAGGAAACTGATGCCTGGGCCAGGTGAGGAAAACATTCTGGGAATAGGGCTATCTATACCCGTGTGACTGATACATATTTGGTTTTCATGTGACTCTTTGGCCTGTTCATCATAGGCCACACAAGTCCCTGTTCCAGGATGAGGGTCTTGATGCATTGGGGAAGATTCTGTGTCTCTTAAGTGGAATCCTGGATGGGCAGGTAGGTTGCCAGGGAAGCTTCTGAAGATAGTGTGGTGGCATGTACAGAGGACTGATATGTTACCTGTGCAGGGTCCAGGAAATGCTCTTTGGCAGAGAGAGAATAGACAATTTGAAGTTCTTTTGTTTTTGGTTTTTTTCCAAGACAGGGTTTCTCTGTGTAGCCTTTGGCTGTCCTGGAACTCACTTTATAGATCAGGCTGGCCTCAGACTCAGAGATCTGCCTGCCTCTGCCTCTTGAACGCTGAGATTAAAGGCATGTGCCACCATGGCCCAGCTTGAAGTGTAGTTTTAAGCATCTTATACACTGATTCTGCAGTGTAGGGAAAGTCAGTCAGTAGCAGCCATTTGGACAGGACCAAAACAAAGCACATATGGTTTTAACCTGGTTTGGAAGTTAGCCCTGACTCCTGAAAATGCTCCATAGAGGGAGGGTGTGTATATCAGCCTCTAGACTCCCGGCCTATTATTTGTTCCATAGGTAAGAAGTGGAGTAGCTTCCACAACTCCCCACGCCACAGCAGCAACTTTAGATGTGGCCATTCACCGATGCCTATCCCACGGAGCTCAGAGGTAAATTTGCTTGCTTAACTTGAGACTCCCAGGACCTGGGAATGCCCCCTAATGACATGGGTGTGGGCCCCTGGAATGGACTCTGGACAGCTTATCCTGGGTCAACTTCTTAGGCTGCTCTGTGTAGCCCTGGGACAGCTGGATCGACCCCAGGACCTTGCTGATGATGGGTATGACTCTTAGCTTACACATCTCCCTTATTGTGCGTGTGTATAAACAGGTACTAGGCATTTAACTGGGAATCCAGGGTTACTGTTGGGTAGGGACACTGCAGTACAGCTGCAGTTTGAGAGTGGGTGCCCCAGAAAGCAGAGCCATACCAGGTTGGTAGTCACATGTCCCCCTCCCTGCTGGGGCCCCAAGTTCCCCTCTATCCTCAGTTGTTAAGTTCAGGGAAGGGTCTCATGCACATATGTACATGTGCTTGGTGCTTTCTCCTGGGAAGGAGAATTCTCTGGCTGAACATCATGGGCAAGGAGGCTGCCATCTGGTCCATGTTCCACATCTCCACTCCGCTGCCACAGGTGAGTGGCTGTGTGGTTGGACAGGTTCTTACTGTCCCCTGGTCTTTCTGGGGGTTTCTGCTCACAATCTAGGGTTTCTGAGATTTGGGGTGACAGGAGCCAGCAGCTATGTTCCCTAGATGAGAGCCTGAGGCTCTTTTGCTGTCCCCACAGACGACTGGGGGGTTTCTGAGCTGCATCTTGGGTCTCGTACTGCCCCTGGCCTATGGCTTCCAGCCCGACGTGGTGTTGATGACACTGGGGCCTGCCCATGGCCTTCAGAACGCTGAAGCTGCTCTCCTGGCTGCAGTGCTTCGGGGCCCAGCAGGGGGCCGAATTCTAGCTTTAGTGGAAGAGGTAATCTGGGTAAAGTGGATAAGCTGTGTGGGTGGACGGTGGATAGAAACCGTTGTTTCATTGCTCTCCACCCCCACTATTCCTGACCAGGAATCCATACTCCAGCTTGAAAGTACCCTGGTACAGGTACTGCGTGGAGAAGCACCTCCCAGTCTGGGCCCTTTCTTGATGGCCTCTCCAGAGGAGATCCAGGCCCTTAGGTTTCTAAAAGGTCAGCTGGAGCCTCGGTGGAAGTTGCTGCAGGTGGCTGGTGAGGCACATGGGGAGGCGCGGCCCTACTTTAGAGCTACGTGGAGCCAGCTTCACCGCGCGAGCCAATTGTGCTTTTCCAGCTCTTCCACCAGGACAGTGCTCTCCAGTCGCTTGAAATCGACCAAGGTGGGCGATTCCTATGTGGAGAAGAGCGCACACAGGCGGGAGACTGACGCCCCATCTGCACCCTAGGCATCCTACTTCTAGAACAATAAATATCGGTTAAACAGAGCCCACCCCTGCTCCCCTTACTGAGTTCTAGTTCAGCAAATATCTGAGATAAGCCTCTAGTTCTGAAAACTGAGGCTGCGATCCCACCCCTCCCGAAATCGCCTTCGATGACGTGATTCCGGCGCGTCTCTTGGTGGTGTCTGCGGGCGCGTGGGTGTGACGTCATAGCGGCGGGAGTCCCAGTTCAGTCGATTTGGGCTTACGGGACAGCCATGGGACGCCGGCATTTGATCGGCAAACTTGTCACGGTCGGTGAGACCTGAGGACGAGCGCCAGGCGGCTGCTGAAGACTGGGAGGACGCGGCGTGTGGCCTCTTGCACCGCAAAACCTGAGGCGTGGATGCCTGGTTCCCAGGTGTGAAGCGACTAGCGGTCGGCCCTTCGGCCCTGGCTCACCGGGGGTTGCTCTAGTTTTTGAGAGCGTAAAGTGCCTCCCGGGTGCAACCTGGGGGTCCAGGGCTGCCCTGGATATGGCCAGTATCACCCAGCTGTTCGATGATCTCTGCGAGGCTCTCTTACCTGCTGCCCAGGCTCGTCCGGGCCAGCGCAGCGTGAATAGGAAAAGGGCAAAGCTGAGTCTTAAGAGGATAGCCTACAATGCTCTTTTTGCAAATCTTTTTCAAGAGGAGACTCATCAGCGGCAGCCTGACTCGTCGAGGCTCCCAGTGAAAAACAAGGTCCTCATGCTGTCCTTCGATTTGAGAGTGGGCGGCATGGGGCCAGAGGCTGACCGTTTGGAGGAGCTTGTGGAGAAGCTGGAAGCGATTCCTGGCTGTCCTTTTGTGGAGGTGGAGTCGGTGCTGGACCTCTTGGTTCAGCTGGCAGGGAGCGGCCCTCCTCAAGTGCTGCGGAGAAAACGGGATTACTTCTTTAACAACAAGCACGCAGGCAGAAATGTACCCTACAGCGACTACGATTGCTATGATTTGAGTGTGTTTGAAATGGACGTTCGGTCACTTATCTCTGGAGAGGAGTACTTGTGTCATAACATGGTCCAGGAAGCACTTCAAGTGATGGAGGCTGCTCCAGGCACCGGCCTGCCCACCGTTGGGCTCTTCTCAATTGGTGACTCTTGTGACAGGTATGAGAGAGACACCCGGGTCTCACTCTTTGGTGCCCTCGTGCACAGCCGCACATATGACATGGATGTGCGACTGGATCTGCCCCCGGTGCCAGACAGCGCAGACTTTTCTGGATTGGCTATTAAGGTAGTATTTCTTTCCCTTCAGTATCCCTAGAGGTTTGAAAAATGGAGTGTGTGTGTGTGTGTGTGGGGGGGGAATGGGATGGGAGGGGGATCGGGGTGCATGGGAGGGAGAGGGAACTGGGATCGATATGTAAAATAAGGAAAAAAATATATATGCAAACAATTTTTAAAAAAAGAAAAATGCCTATTTTGATCTTTGACCATGGTAATGCTGGAAAGCTCGGGTTCAGATCATCAGGTAACCAGATTATTTTGAGGTAGAGGTTGAAAAGGACTTGCTGGCATGTTCTTGCAAAGGGATGTGCTTGCTGCTCATTTGTATCAAAAAATAACACACCACTGTTCATCTTTTATCTCAAGGTCTTAAGTCACTTCTCTAGTGCTGTTAATTTAAATTCAGATTAATTAAAATTAAATACATTCTGTTCTTCAGTTGCAGAACTCACATTTCAAATATGCCTGGTATGCATGATTTTTGGTATACTTTCCCACTTATAACACGGATTTTTTTCCTGCCAGTCACGGAGTAAATTGTCATTGCCTCTTGTATTTTATTTTTTATTACTTTGTAAATTCCATTAAGAGGACAATCTGTTACTTCTCAGTTTTTTTTTTAAATTATGAATTGCTTAGGCTATTTCCAAGTTTAAATGGTGCTACAGCAAAATATCAGTGTACATATGTTTTTCCAGGGTTAGTATATTAGGTAAATCTTTCTGTGTGGTCCGGTCTGATTCCAAACTCATAATCCTGCTTCAGCCTGAGGAGTGCTGGGATTACAGGCATGCACTACCACACCTGACTAGAAATTGATAGTGGATGTGGATTATTTTAATTCTTTCCATGATTTCATTGTGGAAGGTGAATTGTGTAGTACATAGGAACTTGAGAAAAAAAAAACAAAAAACTCTTTTGCTAGGTCTGCCCCTCTAGGGAATAAATGGATGTGGATAAAGTTCCTGGACTGTTATATCACACTTAGATGTATGCATACACAAAGAGATAATTACTTTTCCCTGTGGTCTCCAGGTCCCACAGATTATAGATCAGTGGGAAGATGAAGGGTTCCAATCAGCTTCCAATTTAACTCCTGACTCCCAGTCTGAACCAAGCATGACCCCCGACTTGGACCTGTGGGAAGCTGTGCTCACATATGAAGCCAGCAAGCGGAGGTGCTGGGAGCGCATTGGATGGTAGGTGACCCTTTCTTTACCTTTAAATGCACTGTGCCTTTGCGTCTTTGTCCCATATCAAGTTTACTTTGAAACCCTGTGCAGTTGTTTGTAGAATCATCACTGCTGAGATTAAGAGGCTGGCATTTCAGGTAAGCTAGTGTATGTAGTACAGTATTGTCTGAACCCTGTGAGGTGAGAGAAGTGGAGGGGAAAGGAACACCCCATCCCTCCTCCACCTTAGGAAGTTAATCCTGCAGGTCATACTTAAACAGTCTGTCTTTCCACCAGGACTGCTAGACAGATGCCCTAGGCAACTAGCAGGCTGTGTGGTCAGTGCCTGGGAGATGCTTCAAGAGACTTACTAAATGAGTAGAAGCCATGGGTGTGGCACTTTCTGCTAGTAGAAACATCAGCCATAACAGCCTTTTCCCGAGTGGCTAGTATTGGCTGAGTCTGGAACCATATATCTGGGTCCAAGGGTCCTGCCTTCAGTTCCTTTCATGGTCTGAGTTGGTACCCTTTGGAAACACCCAGAATCAGAATTGAGGACATGTACTTGACAGACATTTATTCATGGAGCCCTCTTCACACCCCTTTGGCTACTCAGTCTGGGAAACCAGTTGGGAAGTACTGAAGTGAAAAGTGAAGGCTGGAGGAGCCATGTGTCATCTGATGCAGGGGAGTGACAAAGGCTTTTGTGTGTAGGGCACTATTCCTGTGTGAAGGGCACTACTCCTGTGTGAAGAACTTTCCTACATGTGATCATAATTGCCCATTTGGATCCCTCAGGGGCTGGGCAGCTCCCTGCTATGTAGCCTAAATGGTGTTGGTAGTTGTCTTTGTCTTTCAGGGGCTCCTCTGTCCTGTAATTTCATGATATGGTTTCAGTCCTGTCTTGTTCATATAAAGCAAACGTTCCCCTTTCTGCCAACCCCTTACATGTTGAGAAATTGATCTTACAGCCTACTGCTTTGTTTGTAAATATTTAGTAATGTTATTTTATCTCTTAGCTTTTCTGGGTCATTGTTTGGGATGTCACTTAGCAGCTCATTTGTTATCCGTTGCAAATACACTTCATTCTTTTGGTGTTCTCTGAAGCACAAGACTGGCCATATAGTCCAGCACAAAGTAGCACTCTGGCAGTGTGTCCTGCAAGGAAGACTATATTCCCAAAGTGGTGTTGTTTGAGACAGGGTCTTGCTGTGTTGCTCAGGCTAGCCTTAAATTCTCGGGCTCAAGGGTTCTTCCTACCTTTGCCTCTCAGGTAGCTGGTGCTATATATAGGTATCTAAGGAACTTTAATGTAGAGTCCTAAGATGAAGAGCAATACCAGTAACTAGGAGAGAGAATGGAAATACAGATTTGATCATTCACAGGCTGTGGGGTTATGGCAATACCCAGAGATTATTCATATAGAAATCAAGAAACAGGGCTGGAGAGATGGCTAGGTGGTAAAGAGCACTGGCTACTTTTCCAAGGGACCCAGATTCAATTCCCAGCACATGATGGCTCACAACCACCTGTCATTTCAGTTCCTGGGGAATCTGATGACCCTCCTTTAGCCTCAGCATGTACCAGGCATGCATGTGGTACACAGACAGAAGTGCAAAGCACCATAGATACATAAAAAATAAAGCAATAAAATATGCCACATATACACAACAAGAATAATCCACTCTGTGTGAGTCATGGCCTGTCCTTGTCCATCCACAACCGGGTGCATGACCTCAGGGCATTTGCTTGAGAAACTATTGCAGCCTGAGGAAAACACACCTGGCATTTAAGGTCTATGCTGTCCCATCTGTTCATCCCTTCTCTTCTGTCTTCTTCACAGCCTCCCAGGTCACCGAGAGGAGCCCTACCTCACCGAGGCAGGGAGGGATGCCTTTGACAGGTTCTGCAGGCTGTGTCACGGAGAGCTGCAGGCCCTCAGTGGGGGTTTACTCCAGTGCCCCAAGCCTGTGCTGGTGGAAGAGAGTGAGCTGGTGAAAGACTCACTGAATGTTCTGCTAGGCGTCGTCTCTGCTACATTTTCTCTTTGTCAGGTGAGAAGGGCTCACAGCTATCGTGGGACCAACCTTGCATCCAATAGCCTGTGCTCTCCCAGCGTGTTCAGCATGCTTAGTGGTAGGTTAAGGTCTGGTGCCATGAGTGGAAGAGAAGGCCAGCTCTATGGGCTGATTAAAGATAGCCACAAGTTAGGCCAGTATATAAGTATATCAGTGTTGGAATTCTTGCCTAGCATGTGAGAGGCCCTGGCTTCAGTGCTCAATACTGCAAAACAAAAGAGGCGTTCTGATTGGATTTTAAGAGTGTTAACTTATAGTCAGGCATGGTTTTGCAGGCCTTTAATCTCAGGCCTTGGGAGGCAGAGGCAGGCAGATCTCTGAGTTCAAGGCTAGTCTGGTTTACAGAATGAGTTTCAGGACAGCCACGGCACCACAAGAAATCTTTTCTCGAAAACAGACACCCCCCCCCAAAAAAAAACCCCAAAAAGATTTGTTTATATTTTTTTATGTGTGTGGGTTTTCTGCCTGCCTACATGTATGTGCATGTGTGCCTGGTGCCTATGGAGGTCAGGAGAGGGTATTGGATTCCCCTGGAACTGGAGTTACAGATGTTTGTAAGCTGCCATGTGGGTGCTGGAAACCTAATCCAGATGCTCTGCAAGACCAGTAAGTGCTCTTAACTGCTGAGCCATCTCTCCAGCCCTGTTGTTTTTTCTTAAACTCTCAAAACACATATGACACAGAATTTGCTGGTGTACCCTATTAGGAGGTTGTCTACAGACTCAGTGTTCAACTTCTTGTAGGTAGATTTCTATTTTCTTAAGTCAGTTTTGTTACTTTATATGTTTCTAAGAAATTTCGCATTTGATCTGGACTTTCTAATTTGACACACAATTATTTTTGGTGTGTGTTTGTGTGTGTGTGTTCCTAGGGATGGAACCCAGGGCCTGGCACATGCTAGTCAGTGCTCTACCACTGAGCTACATTCCAGTCTAGATTATTTCTTCTTAAATTACATTTATTTACTTGTGGTGGGGGGTGGGGCGGCAGGGATACGAGTCACAGTGTGCATGTAGAGGCCAAAGGACAGCTTTTGGGAGTTGGACCTTTCCTTCTAGCATATGAATCCTTGAGTTCAAACTCAGGTGGGTCAGGCTTGGTGGCAAGCAATTTTACAATTTTACCTGCTGTCTTAATAAGGTTTTCTATTGTTGTGGTAAAACACCATGACCAAAAGCAACTTGGGGAGGAAAGGGTCTATTTGGCTTATGCTTCCAGGTAACATAGTGTATCACTGAGGGCAGTCAGGGCAGGAACTGAAGCCTAAGTCATGGTGGAGAGCTGCTTACCAGCTTGCTCTCATGGCCTGCACAACCTGCTTTCTTATACCACCTATGACCACCTGCCCAGAGGTGCCACTGCTTTCAGTGACCTAGGCATTCCCACATTAATCATCAATCAAGATGCACCACAGGCCAATCAGATGGGACATTTTCTCAGTTGAGGTTTCCTCTTCAAAAATGACTTTAGCCTGTACCAAGTTGACATAAAAATTGGCCAGTACACCTGCTGAGCCATATCACTGTCCCAAATTCTTTCTTGTTGCAATTGTTGTTTGTTGAGGTTTTTGTTTGTTTGTTTTGCTGTTGTTATTGAAACAGGGTTTCTCTGTGTAACAGCTCTGGATGTTCTTGAATTCACTTTGTAGACCAGGCTGGCCTCTGCCTCCCTGGGATTCAAGGGGTGCACCTTTCTGAGATAGAGTCTCACTGTGTAGGACAGGTTGGACTCAAACTCACCATCTACCTGTTTGCTGGGATTACAGGAATGAGCACAATGCCCAGTTTATAATCTGTCTCTTGTTAGTTTGGGAGGTTTGAGCTGTGTTTCTTTTTGTAATTTCTTTTCTTTTCTGTTTGTTTTTTGAGACTGGGTTTCTCTGTGGAGCTTTAGAGCCTGTCCTGGAACTCACTCTAGAGAGAGTCTGGCCCTGAACTCATGGAGATCCACCTGCCTCTCCTGGCTGTTGGTTGTTTTTTGTTTTATTTCATGTGACAGGGTCTCACTATGTAGACTTGGTGGTCCTAGAACTCACTATGTAGCTGGTCTTCAACTCACAAATATCTGCCTATCTCTGCCTCCTGAGGGCACCACCATATTGGAATTTTAAACATGTTTTTAAGTATAGTCAATGAGAAATGAAACATTGTTTTAACCTACATGTTGTTGTATCATTGAGTATGGTTTGATAATTATATACTAATACACATTTCCTGTTCATTTCAATGTAATCAAGATTAATGAGTAGTGTTGTAAGTGCAAAACAAAGATGTACTTTAAAGAAAGCTTTATTTTTGCATTTACAACATTGTTCAATAATTCTTCCTTTTCTTTTCTTTTTGTTTGTTCTGTTTCTTTTTCTTTTTTCTTTCTTTCTTTTTTTTTTTTTTTTTTATTTGTTTGGGTTTATTTTGCTTTGCTTTGTTTTGTTTTTTTTGAGACCAGGTCTCTACATAGTCCTAGCTGTCCTGGAACTCACTATGTAGACCAGGCTGGTCTCAAACTCACAGAGCTTTGCCTGGCTCTGCCTTTCAAATTAAATTAATTTGATTAAATGTGTGTGCCACCCCACCATACCTGGGTTGTGTGTTTCTGCGTCAGTATGTGCATATGAGTACAGGTGCCTGTGGAAATTAGAAGAGGGTGTTTGATTCCCTGAAGCTGGACTAACAGTGTTTATGAGCTACCCAGTGTGAGTGCTGGGAACCAGACTCAAGCCCTCTGCAAGAGTAGTACATACATGTTCTTTTACTGCTGAGCCATCTCTCTAGCCCCTTGTCTAGCATTTTGCTTTTAGAACTTTCTGTTTGTATGTCTTGGACTTGGGGAACTTTGGAGCATGTGGCAGATGGGAACATGGGTAGGAAGAAATGTTACCACAGGGTCTTGATGTGTGGCCTCTATTATGCCTTCTGTCTGCTCTATAGGCCACTCAAGCCTTTGTAGTGGAGCTGGGTGTCCACGTGTCAGGTGCATCTCCTGAGAGCATCAGCAGCATCCTTTCAGAGGTGGCGGAGTATGGAACCTACTACACACGCCTGAGCCACTTCTCTCTACAACCTGTTGTAGGCTCCTTGTGCAGCAGGGGCCTTGTGTTCCAGGTATGCCTTTGTGAGACCCATGCTACCTTCCAAAAGAATCAAGAGTTCAGAAGCTGGGTGACTTGAGATTGTTTCACTATTCATCTATTATTCCACTAGAACCATGTGTCAGTTGTATTTGGGCAAAGGCAAAGAGGGAGGCAGGTGTGAACATCAAGGGAACTTGAGGGCAAGGAAAAAGTGCTATGAGAAGTGGGTAAGCCGATCAAGTCACCTGCTCCACATAGGCCCCAGTGTCTTGTATGGTGTGTAGCAAGGTGGATCTCCTGTTCTAATGAGCCGATTCTTGAGGTACCCAGGATTTTCTGTGCATTGAAAGACTTGCAGCTGGACTCTTAAAGGATCTTGGCAGCTGGGGTAGGTTAGGAGAGTGTTACGAGGAAAACATGGGCAGGGAGCAGGGAATGATGGGGGCAGGCTGCAGCCTAAGAGGAGCTGGGTACTTGGGCCCTTTCAAGCTCTGATGTAGAGTAAGGTCAGCAGGCAAAGGGTGGGGCACTGACTCACCTGAGGTTTCAGGGGTGATTAGGAGCTGCAAGGGGAAGATTTTCCATGCAGAGGAACAGTGAATGGAATCCCTAAGAGGATCGGAGGTTGCAGATGTTGTAAAATTGGTCTGAGAGGGGAATCCATGGGAGGTAGTTTCCTGGCATGTAGGCAAGACAGGCCAAGGTAGATGGACAGGGTTTGTTCCAGGGTGACCTTGTCTCAGTGTGATCCAAGGGGGCAAAGCCGCATCCCTGACAGTTCCTAGTCCTAACCTATGTCTTCTAGTAAAGCATCTTCCTTCTGGATGGGCATAAGCCATAAATGCCCACTTCTTTGATAATGGGGCCACGAGGCTATGGCGTGGAAGTACAGCCTTGTTTCCCAGCTTGGGGGTGTCCTTCCAAACCCTGAGTACATGGCTGTCTCTGTGTCCCAGCTGCCCTCCTTCTATTCCTTGTCCACAGGCCTTCACCAGCGGCCTTAGAAGGTACTTGCAGTACTACCGGGCCTGTGTTCTCTCCACACCGCCTACCCTGAGTCTCCTCACCATTGGCTTTCTCTTCAAGAAGCTGGGTCGGCAGCTCAGGTGAACCTCAGTACAGTGGCCTAGCATGGGTCTCAGGAGCAGATGTGGGGCTATGAGGGCAGTGGAGAGCCAGCTCTGCTTCCTGGTGAGGAGGGCCCAGAAGAATAGTCCTTGGTTGTCTCAACAGTCCATGCACACCTGGTCACTACGTGCGTTATACTGTGTCTGCTCTCTGCCTACAGCAGTGGTCTTGCTAGGCCCAGGAATTCCTTCCTAAATGGTGATCCAGGGGAAGGAGGACAGTGGACAGCCTCTGACACTCATGAGCCATTAGCAAACAACCAGGCATAGTGTCTCTTGGCAGGTGCCATTCACTGAGAAAAGTTGGGGGTGGCAGAGAATATGGGAGGAGAATATGTTTCAGGCAGGAGAGAACTGGGAAGGTAGAGCCTGGGATCTGGGTGGTATGAGTGTGTGTGGGGAGTCATGTGGTACACAGACTGTAGTGGGGTAGAGAGGGTGAGCATTCATGAGGGGGATTAGTGCTCATGCTAGTCAGACAAGGTGGTAACCTTTGCCAGGCAGAGGTTTCAGATGGTACCATAATTGTGGATGTGTTAGTGCCGTCTGGGAGGACAGCACAGGAAATGATGCTGGGAGGGGTCTAACAGGGTGCTTAGATCTGGTTTGTGGAGGGTGCCAGGAGTTTTTAAAGCCTGTGTAGACCAGTTGCGTAGGGGACAGTGAATATTTAGCTTACTTAGTCTGAGCTGGTCCTTGGGGCCCTGCACTCCTGGCACCTGATCTAATCCAGCTTCTGTGTCTAGGTACTTGGCTGAGCTTTGTGGTGTTGGTGCTATATCCCTGGCAACCAGTGGAGAACCCAGGGCGGTGTTCCCCACCGTGAGTCCTCCTTCCTTTTCTCAAGTGTGAGCTTGCATGCCTCCCTTGAGTTTTGCATTCTTATCGAGTTTGGTGGTGTGTTCTGCCATCCGTAGTGTTTACACAGGCCCCCTGCTTCTCCGCACTGTTTGTAGGGAGTGAAGCTTCTGTCCTACCTCTACCAGGAGGCACTGGATAACTGTAGTAACGAGCACTATCCTGTGTTGCTGTCCCTGCTGAAGACCAGCTGTGAGCCCTACACACGGTGGGTGGCGGGTGGCCTGTACTGGCCATGCCTGGTCTCCCTACTGTGGATGGGGGAAGGCTTCAGTCAGACCAAGTATGTATTGGGTTTCCAAGATCCACTGAGTGCTGGGGTCCATGTGGGAGCATGCTGGATAAATGGACCTACTAGGTAGGAGACCATACCCACCGCTGGCAGTATCCACTGGCAGGGTCTCATGTCACTCTGTGGACTGCCCACACTCAGTTGATGATCCTGCCTATCTGCTACACCCATCGGCCATGCACACCTGCCTAGCTCTCCCTCCCCACTATGTCCCATTACCCCACAGGTTCATCCATGATTGGGTGTACAGTGGAGTCTTCAGAGATGTTTATGGGGAGTTCATGATCCAAGTTAACCATGAGTACCTTAGCTTCAGAGGTGAGAAGCCACTGGCTGCTAGGCTGTGCCCTCTGCCTGGGGTCAGGACCAATGTAACTGCAGATCATCATGTTCTGTCCGTGTTCTGTCCAGACAAGTTTTACTGGACCCATGGCTACGTGCTCATTTCCAAAGAGGTGGAGGACTGTGTTCCTGTGTTCTTGAAGCACATTGCCCATGATGTGTATGTCTGTGGAAAGACCATCAATCTACTGAAGCTCTGCTGTCCCCGGGTGAGAGGGTCCTGCCAGCTGGGTGGGGGGCTTGTGTACAGGTGGGAGGCCAGGTCTGTCCAGGGACTGTGTCTGATTGGTAGGTGCGAGTGTGTTTGCTGTAACAGTCCTCTGTGTGGGAGACGATCCCACAGTGCTCCTCCGTTTCTGCTGTAGACCCCATATGTGGTGTCTTTATTGTTGGGTACTTGCTCTGTGCAGTCAAGGATTTCAGCTGCCCCCAGATTTAGGAATAAACTTTTCAAGGGAAAAATGGCTGTGTACATACATCACTGAAAACACAGTTGTAAGGCAGTGCTTGGTTCTTGTTCCTGGCCGTGACTGTATACTTACTCATGGAAACCCGTCCACTTTGACAGCACTACCTTTGTTGGTCTGATGTCCCTGTCCCGCGTATCTCGGTGATTTTCTCTCTCGAGGAGTTGAAGGAGATTGAGAAGGACTGTGCTGTCTACGTTGGGCGGATGGAGAGAGTTGCCCGTCATAGCTCCATCAGCAAAGAAGAAAAGGTACTTGGCTGTGGGGTTTTGGCTTTCTCTGTACCTCTCTTCACTCCCTGGGGTTCTGGGCTTATGGGGCTTCCACATCCCAGTAGTGGGCCAATGCCAATCTCAACAACTTCTGACCGGTCGCCTAATAGTCAGTAGGGGCAGCCAGGCAGACTCGGGCAAGAAGTCCTGGGTGTGGGGCATGTAAGGCAGAGTGGCTCTTTCTGTTGTAGTGTGTTTAGGTGGGGACACCCAAGGTGCGTGGCTGTGTCAAGGAAAATTGGGATAAATGTGGTGACAGGAATTCAGAGATTTGTCCTTATTTTTGTTCCCAAGTCTGCGTGGCTTTGCTTGCATTCCAAGTTTTACCAACATGGGTGACTCCATTTGGAAAATCCAGGCAGCAAGGCCTAAAGTTCCTCTACTTGAGTAGTCTTTACAAGTAATGCGTGTGTTCCTGGAAACAGCACCATAATTCTCCAGTGTACTCTAGGACAAGAGATTAGTGACTGGCCAGTGCTATTCTCAATAACTGTTTCCTGGCTTGGTGCCTAGTGGACAACAGGCGATACCAGGCAAGTTCAGACTCAGGAACGAGAATGCTCCATGGACCCTTCCATTATCTCTGGGTACACAGTCACTTCCTCTTTACTGCTCCAATGAGGAGGCCTCCCTGTCTTCTGCGACATTTGTATAGGTTGGAAAGGGTATTTGTTAACAGTGGCCAGCAGCAGGTTGTTTTGGATAGCTAGTTCTCTCTACACTATCCTAGGAGAAGGGGCAGGGCATTAAGATGTTTTGCCTATTGTCTTTTAGGAATTGCGTATGGAAATTGCAAAACAAGAACTAATTGTCCATGCTCGGGAAGCAGCATCTAGGATACTGAATGAGCTGAGTGGTGAGTATAGTTCCAGATCTTTGCTCTGCTGGGGCCCCTGCCAGGCTCTTCACAATTGCATATGCCTCTCACCTTCTCTTGAAGATCGGCAGATGTCAGAACAGATGGCTGTGGACACCAGGAAGCGAGAGCAGTTTCAGCGACTGAAGGAACAGTTTGTGAAGGATCAGGAGGTGGGTGGGTGGTCTGGGTTTTGGGTGGTTCTGGCTCCTAGACTCTTAGATTTAGTAAATGAGGCTGTCTATGTTGTGTAGCGACGCCTGGCGGCCAGACAAGAGGAGCTAGATGATGATTTCAGCTATGCCCGTGAGCTCCGTGACCGGGAGAAGAGGCTAAAGGCCCTGGAGGAAGAGCTGGAGAGAAAGGCCAGGTAGGACTGTGTGGCAGCAGATCCCACAGTGCTGGTTTAATCCTAACTAGTGATGGTTATTTTGTCTTATTTTCTTGGGTGCTAGGGATCAATTCCAAGGCTCCAATATTGCTAGGCAACTGCTCTACCAATTAACAACATCCCTTACTTGTTATTTTAGCTTTTAATCTGGAAAATTACAGATCTATGTTAAGGCAGAAAGACTAGAAAGTCAGATGGACGAGGATGCTGTCCTGGGCTAAGGGTTTAGAGCCCTTAGGCTATGCTCAGGGATCCAGTTCCAGTACACACAGTGTATTTGGTATCCTGACTGTTTATTAATATTATATATTTTGTAGTGCTATGGAGCCAACTTTGGGCCTTGTGCATATATACAAGTAAGCACTACCATTGAACCGCATCCCCAAGAGCTTGCTGTGTGGCCAGCTGACTTTAAATTTGCAGTCTTCCCGTCTCAGTCTTCCTAGTGCTGTGGTTACAGGTGCATGCCACTTCACCTGCTATTTATCTTAAATGACATCCATTTTTCTTTGCTTTTCATTTTTTCAGGATAGGGTTTCTCTGTGTAACAACAGTCCTGGCTATCCTGGAACTTACTTTGTAGATCAGGCTGGCTTTAAACTCACAGAGATCTACCTGCCTCTGCCTCCTGAGTGCTGGGATTAAAGGCATGCATCACCGTGTTGGGCTGTTTTTCTTTCATTCATTCATTCATTTATTTATTTATTTATTTATTTAAACCTGTTCCTGGCCCAAACAGAGCAATGGGCCATTAACTAGCATAGTTCTTGAGTCTGTTTCCTCTTTGTGTCATTAGCTTGTCCTGGAAACTGGTTCACTGTTTCAGTGGAAGGCTTTTATAGAAGGGACTGGCTACATCTTATATAGTACCCTTTGAGGCTCAGCTGTTCTAGCCTTAGATACTGTTTAGAGAGGAAATAAGGAGTTTGCCTCTTGCATGTGCTATGTGCATGCATACATGTGAGTAGATACTCTGTTCATATAAGAGGAAAACCAGGCATGGAGGCCATGTTCCTGACTTGTGCCAGCCAAATTGGAGATGGTGCATTGTGTCTCAATGCCCAGTAACTGGAGGCTTGGAATCCCTGGGTTTGCATTTTGTTCTTTTTGATGGTCTCCAGGTCTCCTGGGTTTGAACTTATAGATGTCTACTATGTGAAGAAAATGTGGCCTGGCTCCACTGGGCTGGTCCTCAGCCATCTGGTTATTCTCTTGTCTCTGGCCATGTACATTTTCCTTCTGGTGATTTTGTCTAACAGCATTTGCCAAGTCCCATGGGGGCATCTGTCCATTGGAGCCTTTCAGTATGGTGAGCAGCAAGGCCCTCCCTGAGAGTCTGATCTGTGGATCTGGGGAGTTTACTTAGAGAAGCATCTTAGCCTGAGTGCGCCTACCAGATGGTGTCCAGTGGCTGTGGTGACCATGTCCTCTCTGCATGTGTCTTCAGGCAGGCGCTGGTTGACCATTACAGCAAGTTGTCTGCAGAGGCAGCTCGCCGAGAGCAGAAAGCTCTGTGGAGAATCCAGAGGCATCGACTGGAAAGCGCTCGGCTTCGGTTTCTCCTAGAAGACCAGGAGCGCATTCAGGTATGGCAGTGGTGTTAGCTCTTGCACATGGGTATGTACTTGTGCCAGTCTGTTGTGTAAGGGTGCAGATGGTATTGGCTGAGGCTCAGGCTTCCAGCCAAACCTGGACAGTGAGTGGGCAGCAGGACCAGTGACATCTGTGATGGGGGAGGGTGCTGTGTAAAGGCTGTAGTGTGTGTCAGCTTTGCTGGTCACGCACAGAGCTGCTGTCTGTTTTCCTGTCTTTTCCTGTTGGCTTGAATTTCAGGAGATGCTGAGAGACATGGAAGCTCATCAGCCCCAGGAGCCACCTAGTGTGTTCCTAAGCACTTGCTCTCAGGTAATGGGCTCTAGCATGATCTTGGGAGCCCTGCTGGGACTGTGAGTTAGATGCTTTGGCTTGGCTGTCTTATATCCCTTAGCACTTTATAGGTGTTGGTTACTGTTGCTGAGCTCACCTTGGGGAAACACAATTAAATGACTGGAGGGATTCCATATGTACTATGTTTCAGATCACATCTTCAGGTCCTGAGCATGCAGATAAAGGCCGCAGCTGTGATCTGGGATCCACAGAACTACAGTGGGATTGTCTAAGTCTACCCGGTACATCAACATCATCAGCCCTCAAGTCTGCAGCAGAAGGAGCTGATGACTCTGGGGCTGGACAGGCAGAGGGAGCTGGGCCATTCTCTAGTGGTTTCAGCATCACAGACTTTCTGCCCACGGGCCCTGGGGCTGAACAGCCTGTGGATAGTACTGAAGCTCCCTTCTTAGAGGCAGCACTGCAGACTATCTGCTCAGACCTACCCCCTAGAACTCCTGGGCCAGCACTCACAGCAGCCAGCCCCCAGCCTAACCAGTCAGAGTATGATTTCAATACCATTTTGAGGCCAGCTCTGGCTGCCTCCTCTTCACAAGGACCCTTCCAGGATGTCCAAAATGGTTTGGACAGCAAAAAGCAGCATGACCTGGGGGACATATCCACAAAACTGAATGTATGTGTCCATGACATGCAAGAGACTTTGCCTTGCCCATATCCACTTAAGCATGTCACTCCCAAGGAAGGGAGCTTCCAGCCTGTGGGGCAGCTCCTTGAACACATGTCAGGGATTATTGTCCCTACAGAGAGCCTTGCTTCTGGAATGGCTCCTTGCCAGCAACTTAGGAACATTTCCAGATTTGTGTCAGATGCCAGCATCGAGGTTGGGGAGAATGTATCAGATGTGGCTCCTTCTCGGCCACGGTGGAATGTCCATGGACACGTGTCAGATGCCAGCATCAAGGTTGGGGAGAATGTGTCAGATGTGGCTCCTTCTCAGCCACAGTGGAACATCCATGGCCATGTATCAGATGCCAGCATCAAGGTTGGGGAGAATGTGTCAGATGTGGCTCCTTCTCGGCCACGGTGGAATGTCCATGGACATGTGTCAGATGCCAGCATCAAGGTTGGGGAGAATGTGTCAGATGTGGCTCCTTCTCGGCCACGGTGGAATGTCCATGGACATGTGTCAGATGCCAGCATCAAGGTTGGGGAGAATGTGTCAGATGTGGCTCCTTCTCGGCCACGGTGGAATGTCCATGGACATGTGTCAGATGCCAGCATCAAGGTAGGGGAGAATGTGTCAGATGTGGCTCCTTCTCGGCCACGGTGGAATGTCCATGGACATGTGTCAGATGCCAGCATCAAGGTTGGGGAGAATGTGTCAGATGTGGCTCCTTCTCTGCCACGGTGGAATGTCCGTGGACATGTGTCGGAGGCAAGCATCAGGACTGGGGAGAATGTGTCAGAAGAGGTTCTTCAAGCACAGGAGTGTACTCAGCCTCCCTTGATTTTGGAGGAACCCTTGCCAGAAGCTGAGCCCGACCTACTCAAGCCCCATCAGTGCACTCCTGCCCATGTGTCCCAGTCAGGACTCGGTGTGGAAGCACAGAGCCCCACTCTGGAATGTGGGCCACAACTACCTGGAGAAACGAAGCCTACCATCTCTTCTATCCCTGGCAGCACAGAGGAAGGTAGCCTAGAGACCAAGCCCTCTCTTGTGGTTGAGCCTAGCACACTGAGAAATGGCATCCCTGAAGAGACAGGTGAGAGTGGGCAGTGGTAGTCTCAGTGGGACTGTGGCACACTAGAAGGCAGTGTCAAGCTGTCTTCTGTGATCCTTGTTCGTCAGCCAGGACTGAATTGTTGCTATTGGGGTTTTGGTTGGGTTCTCTGGATCAACCTCCCTGTCTGCTCAGCAAGTACTGGGCACTGATGGCCCTCCTGACCATTTTGTGTCTTTTCAGGTCCAGGGAGGAGTAGGGATGCTGAAGACCTCTCTCCATGGCCTCCAAGCTCACAGGTCAGGGGAGCATGTAGGGAATGTCCTATATGCCCATTTTCAGCACAAGCGAAGTTGGGGGACAGGGCTTAGTGTACTGGACTGGGATGCAGTTCTTTGAGCTTGGCCTCTTTTTAGGAAGACACAGCTGTCCCAAGCAGCCCAGGCCCTAGTGAGGAGGTATCAGACACAGAGGCTGAGGTCAGATGCTGGGGCAAGGAGCAAGCCTATTTGGCAGACCTCACAAAGCTCTACCACCTGGAGCAGTACCCAGACAGCTACGAATCCATGTGTGAGTGGGACAGCTACAGTGGGCAGACATAGGCTGGGGGGGGAGGGGGCTCTAGGCCAGTGTATTCCTAAGTTTCAACCAGTCTTTTGTTTCCCACAGCAGAGCCTCCTGTTGCTCACCTGGTACACCACATGCTTCCCCAGGCCTTTGCTTTCCCTGTGGATCCCCAAGTTCAGGCAGCAGTAGACGAGACTGCAGTGCAGCTAAGTGAGCTGCTGACATTGCCTGTGCTCATGAAGCGCTCCCTCACGGCACCTCTGGCTGCCCAGTGAGTGTTCTCACCTGCCCAGCTGCAGCCACCTGCCCTTTCCTGCCTGCCACCCTAACTACCAGCTTCCCCCACCAGTGTCACCTTGGTGAACAAAGCTGCAGTTGACTATTTCTTTGTGGAGCTGCACCTGGAGACACATTTTGAAGCGCTGCGACATTTCCTGCTGATGGAAGATGGAGAGTTTGCTCAGTCTCTTAGTGACCTGCTCTTTGAGAAGGTAACTCTGGAATCAGGCTGGCTATGGGTAGCTGTTTTCCCTAGCACCATGGTGACAGTGCTTCTTGGGCAGACCTTGAGTTGCTGGGCAAGTAGGGAGGGGCAGGGCACAAACCTGGGACTCCTTGAAACATTGTCTCTTCACTTAGCTCGGGGCTGGACAGACACCAGGAGAGCTGCTCAATCCATTGGTCCTTAACAGCATCCTGAGCAAGGCACTGCAGTATAGCCTCCATGGGGACACCCCACATGCTACCAACCTGTCTTTTGCTCTCAAGTACCTGCCTGAGGTGTTTGCCCCTAATGCCCCAGATGTGCTGAGCTGCCTGGAGCTCAGGTACAAGGTCAGCAGTATCCTGCCATGGGTGTATAGGGGAGGTGTGTCCTGCAGCTGCAGGTGCTAAGTAGAACTTCCTGAACAGGTCGACTGGCCCCTCAACATTGTTATCACTGAGAGCTGCCTGAACAAGTACAGTGGTATCTTCTCCTTCCTGTTACAGTTGAAGCTCATGATGTGGACACTCAAAGACATCTGCTTCCACCTCAAGCGCACAGGTGAGGCCTGGCCTAAGTCCATCCCATGTGTGGCTTCAGGCTGATGCTCACCCTCTGTTCTTCAACAGCCCTAGTGAGCCACACAGCTGGCTCAGTGCAGTTTCGCCAGCTGCAGCTGTTTAAGCATGAGATGCAGCATTTTGTGAAGGTCATCCAAGGCTACATCGCTAACCAGATCCTGCATGTCAGCTGGTGCGAGTTCAGAGCCCGGTTAGCTGTAGTGGGTGATCTGGAGGAGATCCAGCGGGCCCATGCTGAGTACCTGCACAGGGCTGTTTTCAGGTGAGACAGGAACCCAGACTTGGGTGTGCCCAGGTCAGGCTGGGCAAACCACCATCAGCTCTACCCTCCTTTAGGGGCCTACTGACAGAGAAGGCAGCACCAGTCATGAACATCATCCACAGCATCTTCAGCCTGGTGCTCAAGTTCCGAAGCCAGCTCATCTCTCAGACCTGGGGCCCAGCTACGGGCCCCCGTGGTGCTGAGCACCCCAATTTCCCACTCATGCAGCAGTCCTATAGCACCTTCAAGTACTACTCCCACTTCCTCTTCAAAGGTGAGCCCTCCTTCTGGACTGGGCTGCTGGGGTGGCAAGGCGGTGGGCAGGAGCCTGATTGTTGGATGCCTCTCCAGTAGTGACCAAGCTGGTGAACCGTGGCTACCAGCCTCACCTTGAAGACTTCCTGCTTCGCATCAACTTCAACAACTACTACCAGGATTCCTGAGGACAGACAGGATCGTGGTGCTGCATCCCCATTTGACCTGGCTGGGACTAGGACAGTGAGCACAGACAGACCTGAAAAGGCTGCTTTATTTAGAGGCCTGGGAGATTAAACAGGTGTCAGGCCCAGCCCTTTGGGGCAAGATGCACCAACAGGCTATAAGGCTTATTTAGCCCTATTTGCATCACTTATAAGCATGACTGAGGTCCTATACTGGCATGAAGCACTGTGTGCTGGGGGCATGTTGAGTGCTAGGCCAGGGCAGTGCTGCTAATGTGGATCAGACAGAGATGGGTCAGGTTTTGACTGGAGATCTCTGCCATCATGGAGAGACCACGAGAGTAGGGATCCCAATGGCCTCAGCAACTCAGCAGCACTGGGTAGAAGCCTTGGGGACTCCAGGTGTGGAGGACACCAAGGCCTTTATGAGGATCATGTTACACAGAGTTCTGCTGCCCAGAGGGGTGGCCTGCTGCTGTAGGGACACTGCTCATCAGTGGTCCTTGTCGCTGCTTCAGGGCCTGTGGTCTCAGTGGCTGCCCCTTCACTGTAGTAAGGAGATTCCAGCAGCTTCAGGACACGCCGCACCTGGAGAACAGATGAGAAGAATTGTGTGAGCAGACTATTTAATGACAGCTCTTCCTCCCAGGGACACAATAGGTACAGATGTGTGCTTGCCTCGGCAAAGTCTCCGTTTTCAGCAGCTTCAATGGCATTCTGTGCAATGTAGTTCCTTAGGACGTACTTGGGGTTGTTGGCATGCATGACACGCACACGCTCTGCCTGCCAGGCAGCAGTGTCTCCGAAACCCTCCTTCTCCTTGTCCAGACGGACTCTGGAATCATAGCCCTAGCTGGGTTTTCCCAATAAGAACAGCTTGCTCAATGCCCCCCAATTCAGGGTCATCTGTAGCCATCCCCTTGTGCCATTGGCCAAGGAACCAGGACAGGTGACCCTAGAAGCTGCCTACCTGTACTCCTGTAGCCAGGTTTCCCAGTGGTCTGTGTTCCTGCTCTGCAGTTCAGCAGGGCTCATCTTTTCCAGCCGTGACTGATGTTCCACACGCTCTAGCTCCTTTGTGACATTTGCTTGAGTGCCAATCAGTGCAAAGAGCTGTGGGTTCGACTGTGCAAGCATCAGCATCATAGAGAGCTGCCTGTGGGAAGGGGTGGCATGGGAAGTATCTCAGCTAGGGGCAGTAATACTGCCTTGCTGTGAGGTTGGCTGCTTTGTAGGTAGCTACGTGACTCAGGTACTGAGCCAGCTTCCAAATTGCCCCTGACCCAGACATTGCAGTTAACTGAAGAGGTCAGGGGCATCTGACCCAGGTGTTTCCATCAACTCTCAAGTGTCATTTCCTCTTTGTCCACTAAATTCCTTCTGCATGACCAGCCTCTGGGTTGTTATTTGAAAGCCTGTAAGCCACTACCACCATTTCCCACATCTCTGGACACAGGGAAAGACAGTCTGCTTGCATTCTCCATCCCGATCCATCTGTGTTCTGTGTTCTTCATACTAGTGCCCTGGTCCTTGATGGTACAGTAATGTGACCTTACTGCATTTCACGCCTGGGAATGGGGCGGCTGCCAGGCCTCTGAGGCACCTGTGAAGGGCTCTAACTGGCAGTCTCCGACCTCTGAAAACAAATTCCAAGGGTATACTCACCGGGGATCCATCTGGGGTCGGAAGGCAAGCCGCAGCTCTTCCAGCGAGGCGCACTGGGAGGTCAACCTGGTTAGGAACTCTGCCGAGTTCGATGGTTCAGCTGGGAAGGAACTCAGCATATAGAAGGTATTTGTGAAGTCAGCACCTGAAAAACGAGCTGCTCAGGTGCTGGGAGGCAGATGCTGGCTCCTTAATTCCTCCCAGCCCATTTCCTTTGTAGGTCACCTGAAAAATGGATTGACATTGACAAGAACCAAGGCTAGAATGGGACCCCCAGTCACACAGTGCTTGTGCCTAAGGCACCTTGGCACACCTGATATACTGTAGCTGTCAGCCTGACCTGGCAACCATTGTCATTTGGAGCCATGCAATTCCTAAGCAACATACAAAAATAAATGCAAAATGAGGGCTGGTAAGATTTGTGCAATGGACAATGGTGTGTGTGGGGCCATAGGCATACTCACCTTCACATACAAAATAAAAAATACTTTTAAGAAATACCAGGCACTGGGATGGCACTAGGGCTACACAGTGAGATGCTGTCTCAAAAAGATGAAAATACTGCCAGAGTAATGGAGAAAAACAAGTCAAAAGAGAAGTAAGACACACAGAAAACAAACTTGTCAGAGATTAATTGTAGCTATAAATGGGTTAATTATCTCTGCAAATGAGGGAGTTTGACAGGATGGAGAAAAAGATGTTATTCAGCCTGTCTATAGTGCCTGCTTTAGACTCTAATAAAGTGTTGAAAATGAAGATAGAAACAATCCATGCAAACAGGATCTAAAGTGGCTGAGGTAGCAGCACATACCTCTAATATCGAAGCAGGCAGATCTCTGTTCAAGCCCAGCCTAGTGCACTCTCAGTTCTAAAACAACCACAGCTATATAGAGAGAGACTCTCTCTCTCTCTCTCTCTCTCTCTCTCTCTCTCTCTCTCTCTCTCACACACACACACACACACACACACACACACACACACACACACACACACACACAAAAGGCTGGGGTGATAATACTAGCAGGCAGAAACAAGCTGGGCATGTAATCCCAGCATTCAGGAGGCTGATGTAAGAGGAACACAAGTTCAAGGCCAGCCTGGGCTAGAGAGTCTCCTGATAAAGTCTACAGTTCTATAAGACCAGGAACAAACCAAAAACTCCCATTCTAGTCACTTCTACTCAATTCACTATGCTGTATCCAGAACAGTTGGATGAACTTCAAATGACCTAGTAATCCCATTAACTATAAACTTCTAAGAACTGAAGCAGGAATTCAAACCAGTAACTGCATACATTTTGAAAGTAGCACTATATGCAGCAGCCTTTACAGAAACCCAAGGGGATCACTGCCACAGACACTCGATAGTCTGCATTAAAAATGGAGTTAAATTCTGTCACATGCTACAACATGGAAGAACTTAGGGGTCTTCTGGGCAGTGGAATAAGCCAGCCACAGACAAATCCTTCTGAGGTTTCTAGAATAGTTGTGTTGGGGTAGGTAGATGGAGAATATTTAAAAGAGTGTAAGTTTGGGAAATGATAAACAGGAGTATCTGCCTACATGACAGGGTTCTGTGGCTCACCAGTCAGATGCATGGTCTCCAGAAGCTTGGCCACAAGAGTCCCATCTCCTTCCTGCTCCACTCGAATAAGGCCCAGCTTCTTCCGCATCTTCTGTAGATAGTGCCTTTGGAATTGGGTGTCAAACTCCTCTGCTAGGATGGCCTCACTCAGTGCAAGTGGCAGCTCAGGTTCCAAGGCTTCCGCCAGCTTCTGCAGATTCCACTTGCACACCTGGGGCTGCTTGCTGTACGTGTAGCGTCCAGCATTGTCTGAGGCATTGCATACATGGTCAGGGTCATATCTGCCACAAAAAGAAGTGCTATCAGAGGAGACAGTGAGGGCAGGCTCCTGAGGAAGGAAGACTGAGGACCACAGCTATGGCGACACCGCTCTTGCTCTGTCAGGTCCTGTGGACTCAGGCCAAGAACTCTAGAATACCTATACTTTCTTCTGCCTATACACAGTTGGCCTCAAGGCCAGGGAGGAAGCTCCTTGAGGCCCAGAAAGACTTAGGCCACCAGATATAGCCCTCCCTGCTAACCACCCCCTCCCCTGAACTCCCACTCCTTTGATCCACTTACAGCCTGACAATGGAGGGACTTGTTCTAATATGCTAAGACGGCATCCTTGTTTGTTCAAAAGACTCCAGGGAGGCCAAGTATGATGGCACACTCCTATAATCCTATCATTCAGGAGCCTAAGACAGGAGGATCACAAGTTCAAGGCCAGCCTGGATTACACAGTGAGTTCCCAAAAAAAAAAACCCCTTGATTTCTGCTTGTAGGAATGGCTGACCAGACAATGCTGGGAATGAAACATTGAAAAAAGGCACATGAGCAGCACACTCACTATCCCCTGCTCCTTTCCCATACCCATGACCTCTGTGCTGGGGTGTCTGTCCCTCCCCCTGTGAGGGACAGTTCCTAGATGGCCAACAGGCAGAAAGTCCGTCACCTGCAACCTTAAGGGTATTACCTGTCCAGGAAGCCAAAGGGTCCATAGTCGATAGTGAGCCCCACGATGCTCATGTTGTCAGTGTTGAGCACGCCATGGCAAAAGCCAACACACTGCCATTCGGCCACCATCCGTGCTGTTCGTCGTGTCACCTAGAGCAGGATGGGCTTAGAGGAGACCACAGGGAGGGACCAGAGCCTGTCCTGCTCTAGAACATGCAGTGCCATCTCCTGGATGCCAGTGGACTTCTTTAAGTGGTTCGCAGTCCAGGGCCCTCTACCATCCCTTTACCACTGGGCTTTCAGAAGTATTTCCAGTGAGTTGCTTTACATGGGCCTAAGTTCCATTTCCACCATCTATTCTTTTATCTGCTACCAATTTTGGATAAATCACAAAAATCAGCAACACGGTCTGAGTCCCAGGAAAATACCATACTGTCAGGTAGACCAGTCTGGGTTGCTGTTTCCTAGATGTTGCTATCCCATCTCCATACTAGGAGCTATAAGGCCATGCCACCAACTGTTTACCCAGTGACCCAATTAGACAGCCCCTGAACATAAGGTTCCAGGGTGGCTGGGAGAACAGGAGCCCAAGTGCAGGACTGAGCCACAGCTCAAGCAAGTAGCCTTTGTAAGAAGAGAACCAGGTCGTACTGGCCTTCCGGTTTCACGACAAAGAAGCTTAAAGGGACAGTGTCAGCTGACCAGATCACCCACCTGTTTCTGTGGGAGGGCATAAGCTGAGCCTCATAGCCCTCCTGGTGATCTGTGGCTATGTCACACTGCACCCCCAGAGGTGGGATAGGAGTAAGCTGGTATGGGACAAAGCCCTGTGGACTCCTGCTTGGAGTGTTATTCTGTTGACCAGCAGCAAGCCACACAGAAACAGGACTATGCTTGGCCCTTGCTGGGGGAGTTCACATCCCTTCTCCCCAAGTTGAGATACTGGGTTGGGGCCACAGACTCATGCAGTAGGTATCCAGCACTCAACAGTGCTTCTGTCCATGTGTCCTTCCTTCCAAGACTGGCTGGGCCTCCTGGTTCTTGTAGGTGTACTCAGCACCAGGTGTCTTAATACCAAAGCATCAAAATGTGCTGGTGTAAAGGGTGTGGTGACACACGCCTTTCCTTTAATCCCAACACTCAGGAGCAGAGGCAGTGGATCTTTGAGTCTGAAGTCAGCCTGGTTTACACATACCAAATTCCAAGCTAGCCAAAGCCCTGGTTCGTAAGGCTGAGGGAAATGATGGGATCCAAGGGCAGCAGCAAGGAACAGAAAAGGACAGGGTCACCAGATAAAAGCCTTTGTCTCTGGCCACAGTGACCATATTTGGCAATAAGTAGTATTCAACACGTGGCCAATGGGGAGGGCCAGTGGGAAACCTTTTGCCTACCTCTCTGAAAAAGGCAGCGTTCCTCTGAATGTTGTCACTGTCGCAGGTGTGGGCAGCCTGGATTTCAGGGTAGAAAGAGCTGATGACATAGTCAAGCATCTGCACTCGAATATCATTTCGTCCCATGCTAGGGCCTGCACGCCCTGTGTGCTCATCAGGGGACTTAAAAATTTCAAAGGAGCCAAATCTGCAAGAAGGACCCCAATGTTCAGTTGGTCAGACAGACTCCATCCCTTTGAGAGAAAAAGAAACACCAGCATGGCTACAAGGCCTTAAAGCCCTACAAAGAAAGAGCACACCGAATAGACAAAGCAACACCCAGTCAGATCATGGCCAGATCTCTGAGTGACAGACATACTTAGTTCAGCCAACTGCCAGCCAATTAACTCCTGGTTCCCAGATCCTGGGAGGCCCATCAGGCCCAGACTCCACACAGGGTTTTGTGTATACCCCACACACTGTGAGGACAAGCAGGGTTAGCTCTACCACAGAGAAGGTGTGAGTGCAATGTCTTAGCAGAGTGGCTGTCCTACAAAGGACATCAGTTATGTATGGAGACATTTGCTTTGTTTTGAGACAGGGTTTCTCTGTGCAGCTCTGGCTGTTCTCGACCTATCTCTGTAGACCAGGCTGGCCTTGTCTACAGAGATCCAGCAGCCTCTGCCTCCTGAGTGCTCAGATTTAAAGGCATGAACCACCATGCCCAGCTGACATTTTAAAAATTATTATTGTAACTGTGTTGCTACTGGCAAATGGTGGGCAGAGACCAGTGGTGCTATCAACATTGTACAAGGCATAGGGCCTTTAGAGTGCAG